GTAGGAGAAATATATGGTAAGTAAAAATCATTGAAAAGCTTTTCCTGAAATATCATTTCTTATAAAGTTCCTATAGTGATTTTTTTCTTCCAAATGATCTATCACGCGTACTATTGGTTCGCGTGATATAGAACTATTACTACACGTGCAATAAATCATACGTGAAGGAAAAACAGGACTTTTATTATGAATTTAGGTTTAAATAAGTTGTGAAATGCAATTGAGCGATATTATCATGCAAGTTTCCTTTCTATACTCTATTACGCGATATAGTTCTGTTCTTACATAAAAATGGCTCAAATTAACCTTATAAAAAGGAGTCGAATATCTATGATATAGTTAATCAATGATATAGTTACATTTCTTTAGTACTGAATTGATTCTCAAAAATGTTATTATTCGTTCCTCTAGTAAAAATGCACATTTTGGCACGATTTTTTGCCCTTTTAAACCATTATTGACTTTTTCTACAATTATAGATTAAATTTTTATCAAATCATTTTCTTCAATTTCAAAAGCCAAATTTTAAAAAAACTTTTCATTGCAAATTTTTTATAAAAATTAAGGATTAAAATAAAAAATTAAAATTGATTTTTAGTTTTTGAACTTTTATTTTTATATGATATAGATCATCCCGCTTTCCTTAATGCAGCAGCAAATTCGTGTGGTTCGAAGTACAGGTTTTCAGCGGGTTTAAGACCTACAAACAAGATAAAATTTTTTTGTTTACGTACATAAATTTCGTTATAAACGAAACAGGAATTATTCATACTTTTTAGAAAAAATAAGAAAAAAAAAATTAATTATAGCAACAGCAACATAAAAAAATATACAATTCTAAATTTAAATTGCTTTTTAATTTCTTATAAGCCAGTAGCAAATGATTCTGAAGAAAAATTTGAAAAATGATACAATTACTCAAACAAAATTGAAAGAAGGCGATCATCGGTAACCCATTAGCAAAATGGTTATTGTCTATTTTTCTTCTTCTTTTTCTTGCGCTTATGAAGAAAATCCTACCCTTTTTCCGTTTGTGTGACATGCATAAAGTATTCCCGTCTACGTTCTTTGGCTATAGCTTTTAATGCCTCGGTAAGTTTAGGCCTTGGCATCGTCTTTTTTCTTGTTTCAACTCTAACCTTTGGGACCGTGTCAATCAGTTTAGAACTTTCTTCATTTGTGATATTCACCTGAATTAGTATTGAAAACGATCCAGTTTGAACTGTAGGTTAGAATTTCTGATTCTTAATTAAAGCAATAAAAACAAAAATATCATAAAAACAAAAAAATCTCAAGAAGTATTTATCAGAAGTATTCTCTGATCCTGTATCTCATAAATAAACTCACCAACTTGATGCATAACAAAATTAAAAGTGAAAAAAAAAGAATTCTGAAAAATTATCAAACAACAGCTGTCGCCATAGCAGCGCATGCAATGACGGCACATACGCACTGTTTACTATTACTCTTGAACACAGAAAAATTTGATGACATCCAAATGAGAAATTTTGAAGAAAGAGATTTCCAAATAAGATAAGAAATTTCCAAATAAGAATTGAAACAGATGACATCCAAATCAAACCCAAAAGAACACCCATTTTGCTAATGGGTAAAAATAACTCGATACTAATTTATTCTTATTATATTATTCTTATAGAAGAATTTTTTTTGTCCCATTCTAATAAAAAACACTGATTTTAATAGAAAGTACTTTAAGAATTTATCTATCAGGAAGTAAGAAGTTGGCTAAAAAATTATTCTGCAATGTCAACTTAGCAAATTATCTGAGATTTACAATTTCTTTCTCATCAACATTTCTTAAATACTTGAAAAAAATATTCCATACAATCAAATAATCCATAATTTATTAAATATTTTTGTTATTTATAAGAACGTTTCGTGCTAAGATTATGTAAAACGACAATGTTAAAAAAGTAATAAAATGAAAAAAAAAATGAAAAAAAAAATGAAAATGAAATGATCAGAAAATATTCAAAAGTTATTATGCACTAAACTTCAAAATTAGTTAATTATTTTAAAGTTAAAAAATATTATTAAAAGCGTTGTACGTTAATTGTTTATTGTATTTTAAAAATAGTATTTTTTGAATTATAAATATTTAATTTCTTTGCATTAAATTAGACTTTGACTAAAGTATCTTATAAATTGGCTTTTCTAAATTCCTAAGTAAATACCTAGAATCCCTAACTAAATTCCTGGCATAATTGATAGCACGGATTGACTATTTTTCCAAATTGGCTAAAACTTTTAATATACTTATGCAGACGATATTTTGAAACAAAATTGGATTAAAAAACGCACTTTTTATGAATAAGGCAATTCTTTTTTTTTGGATTTGGATTCTTGCCCTTAAAAATATGGTGAGACAGGTAGCTACAACCTGAAAAATATGGAATCAATTGTTTAGACACGAAAATAAGGTTAATGTGTCTTTCTCTTTTTACATATTTCAACAATGAAAAAGTTTTTGCCCTTATTTATAAAACTTATTTATCCCAAAGATGATTCCAGGTATTAAATTAGTTTTTATAATTATTAATTACATTTTACTGTATTATTTACTAATAGTAGAAGCAATTTTGAAATTTTTGAACAATTTATACACCAATATAATTTACGTGACTTAAAATGAAAAAATCTACATTTTGAAGGGAATAGTTTTTAAGGAAAAAAAACTCGAAATACTGTTTTTTTAATATGATGAAATGTGCAAAAAATTCAAGAATCCAATTTCGTCAAACAATTGCGTGCTTATACAGGAGAAGAACGTTTTTGTATCCCGTAAATTTTGCATAATTTAAAAATAGACAAAAAATTTAGAGTTCATTACTTAAATAAGTTTTAATTTTAGTGAAAAAATCGTCCCAAAGTGGCGTTTTTTTCCCTCTTATTTTTTTGGTGCGATAACTTTTCATATTTTTAAAACCAGTTTCTGTTAATTTCAATTAACAGTTTACTACAATAAATCTGTGTTTTCACTCGCTAAAAAGTTTTAAAAACAACCTTATAAAGATATATTTTGTATTTTGAGTTTCCAAATCCATTTTAAACCATGCATTTCATGCTTTTTCTCGCATAGTTATAAAACAATCAAAATGTAAGGTAAAAATTTTTTTAGATATTTCCATGTCGTATTTTTCAATTAATAAAACTATGAGCATTTTTCAAAAAAAATTTAATTTTATATTTATTTTTAATCTTCTTAAAAATACAATTCTTTATTAATACATACAATTTGTCTTCAATAAAAAAAATCTTTCACATTACTATTTATTTTTATTTAATTAAAAATGTTCAATTGGATCAAAAAGAAGTTCAGAAATTACTCTCATTTCATTTAGTTAAAGACAGTGATTCTAATAATAATCTTTGAAAAATATTTTGTCTTTGACCCATAATTTAATCTTTATTTTTCTTGTAATATTATGTTAAATATTTTTGACTGTGAGATTAGCTTTAAAAAAAATCATTTATCTTATTACTTGAAATTAATTTGATTTTTAAGATCGCTTTTTTTTACTGAAAGATGGGAGGGAATTTAAAAATTTTACCTACTCAAAAGAATTGGTCTTTAACTTACACTTCTGTACTTATAAATAACCGAGTTTTTTGAATTCTGTGTTTATAACTATAGTTCGTTCACCAGGAATTGGAAATTGGCTCTACCTCCACGGCCGAAGAGTTCATTTCAGAGCGGGAAGTAAGAGGAAAACGCCAAACACTAACAGCAAATTCTTTTTCAGATACTTACTTCGCTTTATCATCTGCTATTATACCTTACGTTACTCTACCTAATTAAATATATTGCCGCAAAATGTCTCAAAAAAGACAAACTATTCACTCAAAATCGAGAAATATCATCAAATTTATGAAATGTTTAATGTTAAAAAATGCACAAAGAAAATTGGGAAAAAATATTTTTCTCATACGATCGAAAAATAGCAAACTTGTTCAAGATTGTTCACATGCTTCTCCCTGACATAGCGAAATATAGTCGGATACCGCGTGATGAAGGCGGAGCCAAGTGCCAACTCCTGGTGAACGAACTATACTAATAAACTCAATGAGAAATGAACACGCATGCGCATAAGAGAAAAGAGCTTATCAGGATCGGGCTCTCTTCTTCACCCCACTCACACATTTATGCAAACAAATCAGGCGTTCATTGATATTCTTTTTTTTTTAACTTATATCTTTTGAAGTTATCATCAGAAAGCCGCATAAATCATAACTGAAAGAATAGCTTTCCATCGATATTTTACAATTATTGAAGTTGTTGAGAAATATACTTTCCACGGCTTCTCAAAGGATTTGATTAAAACAAATAAGAGTAAGAGAAGAATGATAGTCATTTCAATATTTTTTAAATTATGAAGAAAAAAACCATAATTATATAGATAAGCTTGTATTAAAAATAATGACTTGGTTGTATCGTATCCTCTTCAAATAAACAGTGTATAAGGGCTGCCTAGATTTGCATCGAATATCTATTTTTCAGAATCCTTGTCGAAATTGAAGATAAAAGATGTATACATTAAACCTAAGCAAGGTAAAGACAACAAATGCTGTCTAAATTAACTATTAAGGAGGATGAATGCAATTATTCTCCAAATCTTTTTCATTTCCGGAGGAAACAAAGAGGAATTGAAAATTGATTATTAAATTGACACTTTTCGGAGTCCACAATTAAATATGTTTTCATATTTCCACCTATTTCCATAATATGATTTGTCTAATTCCAAAAGCGTTACTATTTTGGCCACACTTAAACATTAATTTTTAACCAGTAATTTGTATGCTTTTTTGTCTTCATTTTGGACAGAAAAGAAATATAAAAGGTGGTCTTTAGAAAACTCTTAGTATTTACCATGAATTGAAATCTTAAACATAATATTTTTCAATGCTATAAAATATTCATAGCTTTTTATTTTTCAGGAAATCGGAATGCACTTGTACGCATAAAGAAAATCTAATTTGAAATGCTTTACAGAAAAAAGAAGTCATACAATCTGCACGGAGATGTACAAGGGGACGTTTTTAAAGTCAGCCATAACAGTCCAACCCCAACTTCGGATAAAATAAATAGCAATGATGTTAAGAGACATTGCTGGACGCCGTTTTTGGGTGTTTTCTACGCTTTCTTGTCAAGCGTCACTATTTTATTAACATCTGTCTTTGTAAAAAAACTGTCATACATTGACTCGGGTCAGCTGTCATTAGTGCGGAACATTGGTGTGCTCTTCGGTAACATCCCAATCGCTGTATATTGCACAAAAAACGCTTTTGGTTCAAGGAAATATTTTTGGTTGCTAATAATAAGATCATTCCTTGGAGCAACTGCTTTATATCTTAACTTGATGGCTTACAGACTTTTGCCTCTAACAGAAACCTCCATAATTCTGTCCTCCGTACCTGCACTGGTCACCGTAGCTGCTCGAGTGCATCTTAAAGAGCCATGTGGACTAGCGCAAGTGGTATCCATAATTTTGAGTGTTCTAGGAGTCCTTATGTCCGTTCGATTACCGAAGGTTCTTCATGACAGGTCTGATGTTCATTTTGACAGAGAATATGTCACGGGACTTAGTTGTGCTACGGGGAGTGTTTTAATTTTAGCATTTACATTTGTAACGTTGAGAAAAATGAAAGACATACACTTTTCCACCGTACTACTTTATTTTGGATCGTTAGGATCTTTAGAAAATGCTGTCATAACATATTTCTCAGCCGAGTTTAAATGGCCGCGATGTGAAGTGCTCGATAGAGCAGAAGTGATAATGATTGGTGTCTTTGGCTTCATGGGTCATTGTTTTTTAACGTTAGCAGTACAAAAGGAGGCAGTTGGCGTTGTTTCCACATCTAAATCTGCTTCAGATATTGTTGTTTCAGCCATATTCCAGTTTATATTTTTCAATTCTATACCTGACTATTATGCGCTTGGTGGCGGCTTGTTGGTAATTACAGCCATAAGCTCCTTGGGTTTGTGGAAATGGCTACTAACACAACCAGAGGATTCTGTTTATAGAAAAAAACTAAAATTCTTATTACTTTGAAATAAAATAATTTTAAGTTTATTTTTTTAAAAAAACTTTGCGTACTTCACATAAAATTGGAGAAAAAACTTTTTTTACCCTCTTAGAAGTCATGGCTTCAATATTGAGAAAAAAGAAAAAAGAAAAAACGCATTTATTATAATGAAACATTGAAATTACTTTTCAAAATGTATATGTTGAAAAACGTTTCTATAAATAATAACTCACGCTTACTTTTTAAAAATCTCTTGTAGTTTCGTATAGAATTCTTATTAAAGCACGGAAAATTTATTATTCAAGACTTATATTGCGTATCTATATAAGATGCAGATTTATATTGTCTTTAATATATGAAGACCTTATCTTAATAGTATGTCAATTCCCTTTTCGTTTGTTGAGAAAAACATAAAATTCTAATGAGTGCGGTATTGTTTTTCCTACATTGTTTGATTTCTGATACCCCTTATGTGGCAGTAAAAATGAGCTGGAGATATACTAGCTTAAAATAAGGATAAAAGTGACTTCTATAAACATGAAAGTGGTGCTAATTTAATTTTTTAATCATTAGAGATCGCTAACTGCTCAAATAAGATCCTCATATAATTGCAACTTATTTTGTCTATTCATATGTTTTAGGGGTTGTTATTTCGAAAATGTAAGGTTATAATATCAAATTTTATGTATTTATTTACTGATTTTTTTGCAAATTAATTTGAATTTTTATAATAGGAAAGGAGTGCTTAAACATACTTTTTCATGGTCCTCTTCATTTCGATACTTAAACATATCTTAACGTTTAAAACATTTTAGAATCAATAAATTATAATTTTATTCGTTTATCAAACCAAATGGAAACGCTTGAATCGGAACATCATCAAATAGATAAAGAGAAGAAATTTAAAAATAAAATAAAATTAAATGAGAAATACCTATACTGTACGAATTTTTCTCTTATAGTCGTTGCAGTACTAAATACTGTTTACAAAACAGAAGACTGAATTAAAATGTCATCCACTTTAAATGACTTAAAAGAAATAAGAAAAAAAAAAGTCTATAATAATTGAAAAGTTACTTAACGGCAAAGTTACTTAACACTGATGTGGAAACGTTTAACAATGCCAACATGCTGCGAAATTTCAAACAAAAAGCGTTTAAGGAATAATTTCCGTTCTGGTGTATTTCACAACATTTAGTAGTCTAGTAACTTTTTTGCTTATTTTGTTTTAGCATCTATTAGTCATCGCTTATTTATTTTGTGAAGATATAGGTCCCCGTTGATTTAATTTAAGAGTTAAAATAAAAGTGCGTGGTTGAAAAAGTCGATAGAGGAAGCCATTTGAAATACAAAGTACTTACTGTTTTAATATTATACTTTAATACCCTTCATACTTAAAGTACCATTTTCAATATTGTATTTAAATTACTTGTCAAAAGTTCGAAAAATACACCCATTCGTAGTCGTAAACTAATATTTCAAAGAGGAAAAACGCTATTGAAATCAGTCGAATCGCTTAAGAGGAAGGCGGGACGAAGGTTCAACAGTTCGAAACAGTTCGTTTGCTTAATCTTGAAGGCGTTTAAATAATCAATTTTCTGCTCCTTCTTGCAATCAAACATGCTTTTTTTTCTTCGCCTCGTCTTTCTTAGCATTTAAAAGTTTTTATATATTGATTTATAGCTTTAATATTTAAATTTCGAAAACGTTTTGGTCCTTCCTTAGATTAAATATTTATATTTAACTATTGATGTATAGATTTTTTTGGCTTCATTTTTGAAAAAGTGCATATTAATTGCTTAATTTCAGAACGCCTTGCACTTAAAGGATTATATTTTTTTCATGGATTTTAAATATATAAAATAACTTTTATCATTTGTTGATAAAGTTTGCATTCATTTAACAAATTAAAGTCATTTTTCTAAATTTTATTAAAAAAGGGCTATTAAAGAAAATTTGCATTTTAAATTAAGATAAATCAGGAAATTTAGTTTTTTAATTTGCCGTTTTTTTTTTTTTTTTTTTTTTTTTTTTTTTTTTTTTTTTTTTTTTTTTTTTTTTTTTNTTTTTTTTTTTTGAAAACTTGTTTTCGTGTCGGTAACGATGGAATCTTACGATCGAAATGTAAACCCCTTTCCAAATAACTAGAACGTTCAAATTTTAACATAAGCTCCATGCCGAGTGACAATTGGTAACTATTTTCTGACAGATACAAGCAAAGGTTTTCATCATTTTACTGCCAAATGAATGCACCGTCAATCAAAATATTCGAAAAAGTTTGCCATTAGCTAGAGAGCTAAAATTTTGATGTAGGCTTTGTTATGGCTAAAACTATATGTTTCAATCATTTTCTGGTTTCAAAAATCAGAATTTATCATCACATTATTACCGATTAGAATTTAACTTATATATCTTCAATCAAATGTGGCTGGGTGGCACAGTTGGTTTGTCGTAGTCATTCTGAGCCCAAGTCTGCGGGTTCGATCCCCGGCACAGACACCGGATTTTCGGGATGCAGAAAATTCTCAGCGGCCATGTCATATGATTATGCGGCATGTAAAAGATCCCTGGAGTGCCTTACGTAATGCCCTTACGTAGTGCCGTAAATGCCCTTGGCATTTACGGCAAAATTAAATTCCCAGTGCACTTTAGCATCCAAATAGAGTCTCGGTGCTGCCATCTAGGGTGGCAAAAACTAGACGTCTAAATTAACTTGGCCAACGGTATCTCACCCTTTGTGGTGGTCCTGAAAGAGCAGATACCACTTCTGGAGAACGCACTAGGTCTGTTCATCGAGAAGACTGATTGTGCAGCTCATAGGAAATATGAAAAATAAAAAATCTTCAATCAAATTTGTGATTTCCTTCTGACAAACTAAGAGGCTTTAACTCAATCTAGTACTGGTGGACAATACAAGTTCCAATTTTTTTCTTGCCCTTCTAATTAGAGAATATGTCACCATTTTAAGAAATTTTTGCTGAATTTTCAAACTGAATATTTCAGTATTGTCTTATATGGTTAGCCAAAGAATATGCATAAAAAAATTGAGAAAAGGTCCCCTTGTTTAGCACATGATCCATTTCATGCAGCAATATCATTAAAAATTAAAAATTCAATTTTATAATTATTTTCTTTTCATTTCAATCCCAGAAACAATTTTATAATTTTCTTTTCATTTTAATATCAGAAAATCTTTAATAAATTATGGCAAATTGCAGTATTTGAATTATTTAAGTTTCTAATCATATAAAATGAAAAAATTTAATTTTAAATCTCATAAAATAGTTTCTTGTTGTTGATTGTGTGAATTGAAAATAATTACTGAACAGAAAGGATGTAATCTCATCAGCAATCTCTTATGTATAGATTTAATAATTTCTTAAAATGTTTTCGTCTTGAAATAGTAAGCATTTAAAGTGCTTTTCTAATTGACGGCTAAGGGCACTAAAATCTCAAATTCTACTACTATTATTTTGATTTTAAAATAAAATTTTTTTTAACTAGTAAATATATTTAGTAAAGTATCTCACGTAAAATATTTTACGGAAAATGTAGGTTTTTAAAGCAAATTTAATTGTAAAGCTTTGGGGTGGTTAAAAGAGAATTACAACTAATAAAATTTAAATATTCTTCATATTTAAGTAAAAAATAAACATTATTATATTAGTAGAAGTAATGCTCTTTTATTTTATGCTAATTTCTTCTTAAAAAGCTTAATGCTTAAAATATAAACATAAAATGCTTATATTTCTCCAAATTTTTAGTTTTTATTTTAGAAGTGAAATATGGTATTTTAGTGATTAAACTTTTGTTCTTTGGTATAAAAGTTTCCTGTCATTTTAAATTTTGAATCTTGGATTTTCTTTAAAAAAAATATAGATTATTTAAAAAAAAGTTTTGCAAATACGAAACTTTATTGACCATTTTGTAAATTTTGGCAAAAACGTTTTAAATTTAAATTTATTTCAAATAAGTACCTCTCTGACTATTTTATTTGTTTTTTTTTGTCATTTATTTATGTCTTAAAGCAATCTGAATTTTGAAACTAAATTTTTTTTTTCTAGTTTTGGTGTAGACTCAAAATAAGGAACATGTGTATTTAAGTAACAAAGTACTTTGTCCGAGAAAAATATATTATGATACTCTTTACAAGAAGATACTACTGTATATATAAAACAAGATAAAGAGTTACATTTGAAAAACTGAAAAAGCGATAGAAAACTTTTCACTAATTCAAAAGTTTGAGTTTCCTTGAGAAACTATTTTCATAAAACAATCAATTAGATAATAAAAAATGCAAAAAAATTTTGATAATCATTCACAATGCTTAACTACAAAAAATACAAGCAAAATAAAATACTAACTGTTTAATGTTATTTTCGGTCACTTTAACGAAATATATTTTTCCAAAAAATTAATACATTTCAAAGTAAACAATTAAAAATATCTAATGATACTGAAACGCAACAAAAATATTACCTTTTGATTTCATTTTCATTTCTTTACCAGTTTGCAGTTTTACATAAATCGATAAAAAAACGATCACCCAACATTTACTAAAACTGAATTTTGAAAAAATTGCACTAAAATTTGAAATGTGTCACAAAACATGCATCTATTGCTTTGAATTTGGCAATTTTACAGATATTTGGCGTGAGTTAGCAGTTTTAAGTGATTTGAGAACTATTAAAATTTATTCATCAAAGTAAATCACGCCTAAGACAACGAAACTTCCACGCGTGTCACTCTTATTATTTGTGTACTTGTACATACAAAAGAATTGCAGCCAGTTATTTAAACAAAATTTTTTTGAATCGAAGCTTTTTGATTGAATTCTATAATGTACGTCAAGCTGTGAAATAAAAACTAAATTCTAGAGTTAAATAAAACTCAACCAAAATTAAGAAAGAGCAAGGTTAGTCAAACATTAGAAGAAAGGAAATCACGTGAGCATTGTTTACAACAACACTTAAATTTTGGAAGAATAAATAAGAATACTATATGATGAATTTGAATAATATTTTGTTCAAATTTTTTTTCCTTGATCAATATTACTGAAAACACGAAATACTATTAAAGGAAGCAGGAAATGATTTGATAAGAAGGAATCGATTCAGCATTGTGTTCAAATTTTTTTGACAGGTACTTTTAAAAAGAGAAGGATTTATTTTTGAAACATTTTTTAAAATAACATTTTATCACCAATATTTTGCTAATTATTTGACAGTTAAGAAATCACATCAGTTAAGAACATTATTTATAATTCATAGGAAAATAAATGTCCTCAAATGTTTTCATAATATTTTTACATTATGTTGGAAAACATATTCTCATCAATCACAAGCAACATAAAGTATAATTGAATAGATTATTATGTAATTAAGTAATAAGTGTTCTAATGAAAGATAAGATTTAGTTCAAAAATCTATTCCTGTTTTAAATAATTATTTTATATGCATGATGCATTTTCTTGCAATTAATTCTGTGCACCAAATGAAAAATGATCAACCTTCTTTTTGCGGAACAATTCCATTAATTATTTTGACAATATTTATTGTAAAATTTTTTTTCTCCATCTCATCGTCTTATCAACAACATAAATGGTCTTACAAATTGGTTTTATGTCAGATAGTTGAATTTACGGATCTGAAGCAGTATCTATTGTCACATTCGCAATTTATAAATTTAGTGCATGCGTAATCTGAAAAATATGTGAGCTGAAATATGTTTTCAATTAAAATAAAAATGATAAAAGAAAAAAAGAAATGTTGAGAATTTTTTTCAGAGAAACATACTACTTCATAGTAGAATTTAGATATTTTCATTCTATGCGAAACACTAATGGGATCTATCACAAATGCATGTATCCTTTTCATTATTCATTCATTATATTGTTATAAGAAAATATAATCTCTTGAAATTCTTTTGTTCACAAGCATTTCAATTAAATAATTCCATAGAAATAACAAAATATTAAACAAATAATAAAAAGAAGAAGTAGAAATAAAATTGGATATAAATTTAACTATATGTTTTGAAAATCATATCTGGTTCATAAAAACTCCTAAGTCTCGAAACCCAAGGGTTCCACGGAATACCCTTTTGAGGAACCCGTCGGAAAAAAAAGTTAGTTGTTCCATCAGTCCTGTGTCGTCCTCTTAGCCACCACGTAAAAATAAGTAATGAAAATGAAAACTAAGTTGATCAGAATGAAGAAATAGTTAATACAAAAGAATGACAAAATTACTTTTTATATATAATAGAAATTAAGTCTAAAGCTCTTATAAAAATTGTGATCGAATTATTGCGATCACAGCTTACCTATTGGTCATTTTTTTTTCTGGCTCGACTTTCATAAAAGCCAGAACATTTCAAGTCACTGGTTGTAAAATCTGCATCAGTTGATGTTTGTTTTTCTTGTCGTCTAATGGACTGAATTGGTTTTCAATTCCAGTATCTTAAAAATTATATTTTTTTCTTCTTCAGTATTCATAGTTGAATTAAAATCACAGTCCAGACAGTAATTATGAATAAGTTAATTATAAAAAAGCATTAAAATACATTAAATTAATATTATGCAAAAACAAACACTCTCTTGAAAATTAAATGAAAGAACTCAGTCTGAAAAGCAATCCAAGAACAACCAAGAAGTTCCAAACTTATCGTTTGCTTTTTTTTAATTTGATCTTGTGCTGCTTTTTATTAACGCTTATGATAGCCTGATTTTTTATGACTCATACAACATTGTTGTAGTTGACTTTATCGATGAAGCTAATAGACGAACAACCTCCATTTTACAAATGAGTTAAAAAAATAGTAACATACTGATCTTATATAGTATTAAACAGTACTGTTCACTTAGGTTGATAGGCTTTGGAGTTACATAAAATTCGTCATTAAATATGTAATAGCGTTTTTCCATTTTGAAAAAGAATTTTTTGTTAAATATCCTATACTAAACTACAAAATTCGACATACTATACCCTATATCTACGTTATAAAAATTATTTCGGCCAATACCTAGCTGTGTTAATTAAAAATGAAATTTAAATACTCACGATATATTATTTTCTTGCTCATCTTATAACCAACAATTATTTATGAGTTCTAAAGCGTGAGATGTATGCTAATTGTTGATGAAATACGAGTTGTTTGTAAAAGTTTTTTGTTGTATGTTCTGCGTTCAAAGAATAAATAATTTTTACCATATTTATTTATTCTTTTGAAAAGATAAAAGTGGCATTGAGACTTGCGACTTATGACCATACCTACACTCTGTCTTAATGATGTCACAAAGCGTCGGTTTCTCTGATCTAATAGAGCTATTATCAGTGGCAGGGGGGAGAAAGTGATGGAAATGGGGAATGGGAATATTTCTTGCCAATTGCATATTGATAAATCAAAAGATATAAAGAATTAGACAAATAAAACTAAAACGCCATTATTAGCGATTTTTTTTTTAAAAAAAGTAAATTTTATCAGTTCTTCAATTTTTAAGATAGCAGTGGTGACCTACTTTTAAAAGTGATGAGTTTTAACTATTTTTTTTTTAACATTTTATGCCAACACATTTTTACACTTGTATTTTTATAAATGTGTAAAAAAATACTTAGGTTAGGGAAAATGTTTTACACTTTCTAAAAAAAATTAATCACTAATTATTTTAGTGTATATTAATTTACTATTAAACTTGAAAAGCGCTCAATCCAGAACAGAATAAAACTCGTAGTTAAAGCATTGCGACACCCTCGCCTTCCCAGAGAGCTTTTTGAGGGAAGCTAACTTACATTTGAGTTACAGGAAGAGGTAAACCACAAGAACTTTTAACGGTTAGCCCGTAACCATGGGTAAATGCAGCCCTTGATCTGCTTACAAATAGGGGTATTTTTTTGTCCAAAATGTGGTTGGCCGAAGCTGGAAGCTATATATAGATTTTGCATAAATCTGAATGTTTGTTAATCCTAAAATTATAGTATTTAAAAATTCTTTTTTAAAGCTAGTTTAAGCTAAGACAAACCACTTTTGCTTTAGGTTCGCAAAAACTTTTTGGTTCACTATAATGAAGGTGTGTTAAGCTTATAAAAAGTAAATAAAGTTCTTTATTACCCGTTGGGAAAATGGGTAACAGGTTTTTCATGCTCACACACTTTTCGACTAGATTAACTTCATCTACTAGATCAGTGGTTCCCAACCTGGGGGCGATCGCCTCAAAGGGGGCGATAGAGCTTCTCAAGGGGGGCGATCAGGGGGCGAAGAGTACTCAAAAGATAAAAATTACTACTAATAATAATAATAAAAGCTATTTGAGATTGGAATTGAAAATACATATGAAACCTATGGTTCTGGTGTAGACAAAGAATTATGATAGCTAAAAATTTAAAAAAAATTCAAGTGCAGGATCGTTTTCGTCATACGTTTTGGTATCGCAGGCGGAAATCCGATAAGTCACTCTGTTCCTCGGAGCAATAATACTGTTTCCAGGCGTATTGTTGAGATGGCCGCCGACGTTGAATCAAAACTCATCAAATTTCTGAAAGAAGGTAAATTTGCGTTGCAGATTGATGAATCAACTGTGATAGATAACAAAGCTGTTTTAGCTTACGTGAGATTCATAAATGAGAGTAAGGAGATAAACGAGGAAATATTGTTTGCAAGAACTTTGAACACAGATACAAAAGGATCGTCGATTTTTAAATTGGCCAATGATTATCTTGAGGTAAAAAAAATTCCCCACACAAGTGTAATTGCTTGTGCAACAGATTGCTCCAACCATGTCTGGTTGTCATACTGAGTTTCTGGGTCACCTTAAAAAAGAAGTACCGGAAGTTCATTATGTCATTCATCGTCAACTTTTGGCTGCAAAAAATTGGTTATTTCTGGCATAAATAAAATATAAGCTAATTCTCCTAATAACCGTTTGTTCCGAGAACTTTGCCATGAAAATTATGAAGATTTCGAATTCCTGCTCCTGCATACAGCTGTGAGATGGCTTTCAAAAGGAAACTGAGCCGTTTCTTCGAATTGCTGGATTCGGTTACTGAGNAAGCTAAGACAAACCACTTTTGCTTTAGGTTCGCAAAAACTTTTTGGTTCACTATAATGAAGGTGTGTTAAGCTTATAAAAAGTAAATAAAGTTCTTTATTACCCGTTGGGAAAATGGGTAACAGGTTTTTCATGCTCACACACTTTTCGACTAGATTAACTTCATCTACTAAATCAACATTAACAACAAAATGGCACCTAATGAATTGTAAGTCATAGAAAATCAGGCTAACTTAAGCCTTTATAAAATGGTATCATAACAGAATCAAAAAAAATTTAAAAAAGCAGACAATAAGTTTGCAATTGGGTACTTGCAACTCGAGACAAAAACGGTCACTAATACACAGACACGTGACCTATGACCTCAGCGCCAGCTTATTGTTTCATATTTTATTTTATAACCGTCGTTGAACAGCCGACCCAATTTTTGGGCTTACGACTCCACGCCGAAGCCATGTAATTTTGAACCCAATCCAGAAGACAAGGGAACTCCTGTATCAAGTATTGGTCTTCGTGGAGGACTTTTTGATGGAACTAACCCGCATTTGCTTTACATGGAGAGGTAGACCACGAGAACCTCCCACGGGTAGCCTGATGGCAAAGGGATTTTAATCCCTGATCCTTCTACCACTGAAGATATTTCACGTCTGCACTGTGGTCGGTGCAAACCGGGTGCGGATTCATATCGATCAGTCATCGCTGGGATTTGAACTCGGGTCACCTCATTGGAAGGCGAACGCTCTAAGCCCCTGAGCCGGCTCAGCTTATTGTTTACAAGCAAGTAGGCGTGTTAAAGTTGAACTAAATCTCTCCAAATAAGTTAGGATGTTAATTAAATAAAACGCCGTATCGCGCATCAAATTTGTTAAAGTATAATTATTTCTCTTCCTTGTCCTTTACTTAACTTAAATGCATTATTTGTTTATGTATTTTATTGTAATCGTGATATATTTTTGTTTTGTGAACTTAGAAACTTCAATGCTCAATTAAATGGTTTATATTCCACATGGCTTTGTGCCTGTCTTTGTGTTAAGTATAAAAAAATCTTTGTAAAAGAATATAGAATGTGTAACTTACGAGAATTGATAATTGTCAGATTAGGCTTACCCGAAATAGAATGGGAAAGAACACTAGATAACGTAAGTGAATGCCACGCTTCAACAACCAATCAAGATCGAGATACCCACACTACCTCCTTTGCACCCATTTCTTGCAGTTGATTGCTTGTCAGGCTGAGTTTTTTCTTCTAATTTTCACCAGCATGCATTTTACATAATATTAATTAAAAGTATTTCTGTGTTCTTTTAATGATTAACTTATTCATATTAACTGTCTTTGAAGCGATTTTAATAAAAATGTGTTTACTATATAAGGAGAAGAACTTTCAGACATTTTAAGAAGCGTATATTGGCTAAATTGGTTTTCAGTTTCTGCCAATATACGTTTCTTAAACCAATGTACATTTTATCAGTTAAAAAAAAAATTTTTTTTTTGTAAATTATCAGTCTTTACAATGTTACTCTGAAAAGCATGGGATTAATATTGACCTTTAACTTTATACCTTTTGTATTTCCCAATAATTATAACAGTAAATTACAGTAGTATTTAACTCCAAATTCTTCTTTTAAAACACACTTATTACATAAATGTGTATTTTCAGTATTTGCATCTTTTTCCTCTTTTTATTTATTTTATTTTTTATTGAAAATAAAATATTATAATTATAATTTTATTATTTCTGAAATCAATGCAAAGTCAAATAATTGTAGAAATAAAAAAGAGTAAAAGTAAAAATTCATTGATTATAAAAGGGGAAATTTTACAATGTGTGAAATCCATTGATTTCATAAAGCAGGAAAAAAGAAAAAAATGAAGCACTCTAGCGACGGCCACTCGTTGATGTCACCAACCATCGTCAAGTTGGTGGGCGAATTAACATGACGAGGAATATTTAAGGATAAAGCTCATAAGTTGTAAAAACCCTTGATAGGCATACCTAATAACAAACTGCAGCGCTTGCAACTAAAAAATTTATAGTTAAATAGTTATTAAATTAGCTCACAATAACTTTTGATCCAATGATCTGATTTTCACGTATTGGAAATCTATCTCAATGATTCGAAGTTTCATTGTTTCTTTTTCTTTGATAGATTCTGATTCTTGACCCTCAAAATCTAGCTGCGACCTATAAAATGTAGACGTAATAGTTTGGACAGGAAAGCGGTCAAAAGTTTGGATCGCTTAATAGTAATTTCACATTTTGCGTATTTCGGTATGTCTCGAAACCACAATTAGAATATTAGTTTACCCAAAAACAATTTTTCGTAGAACATAATTTTAATATTTATTAGTTCGTTTTGCTTTTTAATCAAGCATAGTCAAAAGAGTTTTGAGTTGCGTACGATTTTTTTCATCATACAATCAACAAGTATACGATTTCTTTCATCATTCTAAAGAATGAAATTTTAAATGGCGAATAACAAATTGGTTGAATGAGTTCTAGAGAAATTAAATTTTCAATATACTTTCTGATATTTAATAAATCAAAAACTATTCGACCGATTTCATTCATTTGGCATTTAAAATAACCGTCTTTAAACCGGTTTTTAATGCAATAAAGCTTGCTGTTAAAAGCTCCGGAAAAGCGGCAACTAACCCCCAAAGGGTTAATATGCGTTAGTTAAGCATTTGTAAATAATTGCTTTTCACTTTGCATTGCTTTTTTGTTTGAAACTACTCCATAACGATTTCTCTCCCAAACCTCTCATGTTATTAGATTAAATGAAAAATGATTTGAAGCATTAAAAAATTTATTCAGCTTCATGTTGAGTTTTCTTTAAAAAAATCCTAAAATAGGCATCTAAGAGACGTGGATTTATGCATTTTATCAGCATAAGTAAAATATTCTTTTACCTTACAAGCAGTCTGAAATCCTCGAAGAAGTCACTTTAATTTACAACAAGGATTATAAGACTCCATGTCAGCATTTGAGTAAATTAACGATGATAACAAAGAAAATGAGGAACAGGAAAAAATGCAGCTGACGTTAAAGCCTTCTTTTACTGGGTAGTTTTCTTTTGCTACAAAGGTAATTTTATTTTACCAGCAGTTATTTACTTACTTGCTTAAAAATTAGTTTTAGTAACTTTTATTAATTTCGTACTTTGATTTTGTTTCCAGCAAGGTAATAATTTTCATCATAAAGCTGTTACTTATCACTATCTATACCTAAAGGTAAATATTATTTTATGATAAGTTATGTTAAAATTATGCATAATTTTCTGTGTGAAATGTAGTACAATCTGACTTATGCATTTTGACATACTGTTTAAGGTTTTTTTTTTTTTTTTTAAATAAAAACATGAGTAAAATTACCAGTTTACATTTAGTACGAAGATTTCAGATATAAAAACATCTTTTTAAAATGTCAAAGCCAAAGAATTTTTGTGTGTGTAATACTTCTACTATTTAGTTGAACGGTGTACCCCGTATCATTTCAAATTAGAAAACATCCAGGAGACAAGGGCACTCTCCTTTCGAGGAGTTTGTTTTGGGTGAAACTAACCTTTTACGGTCCAAATGGTTGTCGGTTGAGTCAAAAGATGTGTAATGTGAAACGTATTATCGCATTTATATTGACCAGCCACAACCGGGATTCGAACCTGGGACACTTCATAGGGAAACTAGCAAGTCATCCTGGTTCCCATAATTAAATTGCTTGAGTCACGTGGGGAAATTATGATAGAATTGGCCTTAATTATTAATAGTCGCCTTCGAAAGCCAGTACTTTCGGCAATTTTATTTCCAGTCAGCAACTTTTCGTGTCACTATTCATTATTTAAAATTATTAAAAGAACAAAAAATAATTAACAAATGCATCAACTAATAATAATTTGAAGAAGAGAGCTTTCCAATAACGTGAAAAGAATATTCCAACTCTGACTTGAACCTCGCCATCAACGCAAAATTACATTGATGAATGCTATAAGACTCGTTAGTTTTAATCTTATTCAATTACACTAAAATTATGGTTATATGAATATTTAATTAAACACAAACATTTATTTAAAATGCACTAAAGAGTGTTTGAAGGAGTTAGAGAACCAAAAATATAATAAATAACTCCCAAAGTAACTTCTCTTCATTTGATTAACTGAATATTTTTAACGAAGTACATACATGATTTTTGATGGAAAATAATAAATGCCAGGAAATTTTTTACGTCGACTATATACTTAGCTATTAATGTTAATATTCTATATTACAAACAATTTGTAATGGAATTGTAATTTTTTCGTGTACATTTTTATACAATTTTTCGTTTGTTTTATTTGATGTTCCTAAAATATTTGAAAAGCTTAATTATGCTCTCTAATACTTTCCTTTCAATATATTTTCGTCAAATTTGATTTGTATTATATTTAGGGTATTCCTGCTTATTAATATATAAAACACTGGGAGTGATTTATTATAAAATTCATAAATTTATATTTATAGAACACTAAGAGCGATTCATTAATCATAAACGAAATATTTGACATGAAACGCTATTTCATGACTTAATTTAACCCCTTTCTTTTTCTTAAATACGTTGATTATAAAATTTATTAAAAATATTTTAGATTTTCTTCACTGGTGAAAATGTATTAGGAAGTCAAATCCACGAGAAAGCTGAGTGTAAATTTCTTTCTGCCTTTTTTTCTGAAGAGAAAATTTGCACAGCATGAGAAATTTGGGAAATTTTTACCGAATGAAAACTATTTATTTCTCTGTGGCTCATTAGAAATCGAAAAATTGATACGATCAGAATTAAAGGAAATAAAACTATTTGTAAAGTTAGTCAGAAAGCATTTTAGAATTATTGTGTTTTTCAGTATCGTTTTCTTAAAAAATGAATTACTTTAAATTATTCATTAAATGAAATCATTTTCATAACTTTTTAATAAATCTATTATGTGTAAGAAATTATCACTGCGTGTTCTGAAATTTGTCCAAAAATCATCTTGTGCTTGTGAAATCAGCAAAAACAAGTATTAAAAAAAACAAAAATAGAAAGAACTGTAGTGAAAATATTTGAGAGAACGATTCTTTATATCATGTATATTCGAATTACTTTTTTTATTAATACTTTCTATAAATAAAATATGATATATCAGTAGAGTGTAAGGTTTATAAATTACTGCATGTCAATATTTTTCAAATTATGCAGCAATTTAAAATAAATTTTTGAATTTAGAGTTTGTTTATATTTTAACGCCATCGTACTAGAACTCAATATATTTAAAAATACTGCATTTGAGAGTATGAAAACTCTATGATAAATGCAACAGATAGTTCGGTGAACTGTAAGTTATTTTTTCCTTGATTTCTTATCCACAAAAATGATAAGACCCCTTAAAATCAGTTGAAAGTTGATTGCAATGTCGATAGCCTATAATTTTAAGGCTTCCATGACGTTTTGTTATTTCTTTGATCCTTGAGCATACTGATTTCTTAACTGATTTCTTAACTTGTATTATCTTCTTGATATTAGAGAAATACAAACAATGGAATTTAGCGAAACAGGTGAATACTCATTCTTAACTATAATTTGCTTATCTTTCAAATTTAATTAAACTAAAAAAATATTCTAAATAAGAGCTTTTTGTTTGATGTATATGTGTTTTTGGGTGCATAAATTTTTTTTGGTGTATACGTGATTATCTAGAATAATTAGTTATTTAGTGTAATTTCTTTGCTATTTGTTGAATCATAATTTCTTTAAATTTTTATGTGTTATCAAATATTCTAATTGTTATGCTTTGTGCGTATATTATTTTAAAATGGTCTATTACTCATGAAAAGTTCTGCTCTAAAATTTTCCTGTTATGGTTATCCCAACGATGGGAAAAAACTTTATCCCTTATATTAATTAACCTTTCAAATTTGCCTTAACCATTTACGCTTGCAGAGACGTTCCAACCACGTAAAGATGCTTTTTTTTATATAAAATCATCAATGACGTGCTTTGCACGTCAGCAGATAATTATCATAGAAATAAAAAAGACGCTCATAATTAGTACCACAAAAATAAAAATAAAAATGTTCCGATTTTTAAGTGCCAACTTTGAGCTGCAGCCGACTTTTTATTGAACTGCAATTTAGAGTTACTTAAATCTGATCATTACGTCAAAAGTTATTTGTTGTCCCAATTATCATCATTTAGCATTTCATTTTTCAAACTATCTACTTAGCGAAAATTAATCAATTTATATCAAGGTAAAATTCAAAATTTTGGAATACCTCGAAAAATGCTTTGAAATAGAAAAGAAAAAGAAAATTTAAATGCTATGAAAAATAAAATGAAACTTTTAATAAACTTTTCAATAATGCAAAAGTTACCACTTCTCTGTCCCTTTGTGGGGATATATAATAAAGTGATTTTGAGATTAAAGCAATAAGTTGGCAACTGTGAAAGTTCAAGCAATTTATTTCATTACAAAATCTTAGAAATAAAAAATTTGTTTTTAAGAAGTGTGTATTTTAAATCACTATCCTGAGAGGAATTTTTGTTTATTTTTATAAAAATAAATTTTAATTAATATTACGGTGCTTCGTTTCGTAGAATGAATACTTATCGAAAATGGGGTTCGAAAAGTATACACGTTATGACAAATTAATAGTTAAGCAATGAAAAAAAAAACTGAAAACATCAAAATCTGTTTGATTTCTGTGAGAAACAGTGTTAAGTTGAAAAGCAATTATTAGAAGAACTTTAAAATGTTATCGGACAATCAAATTGATTTTAATATTTTTAATCTCGTCTTCATAATCAATGATTTCGATATCGATTTTATTTTTTCCAAACTTTCTTAATTTGCAATATTTAATATGCGCAATTTTTTACCTCATTTTTGACAAGGGTTTTAAATATCTATATTAAGAGCAGTGATTACAGAACATCGTGTATGCTTTTATCCTTTTCTATTGTAATAATGCATTTTTATTGTTTTTTAGACCCTATTTTAAAACATAAAATGTTAGAAAAGGAAATAAAAATAATGCACACAGAAGTGCTTGCAGTCAAAACTCCAAAAGATGAAACAGAAGGAAAAACAAAGAAGAAATCTTTTTTCCATATAGACAAAGAAATGCTTAGGTTTAAAATCCATTTCTTCTTATTTATCGGAGGTAAGTGGAAACATAGGGATTTACTTTTCCTTAAATATTCTATTTTTAATAAAGGGTAATTATGTAGTAATTAAAAAAATAACAAGAATTGTTCCTTTGAAGAAAATAACTTTTAAAATTAACTTATGTACCGTGCTTAAATGAAAAAAAAAGCTGACAGCCAGAACAACTTTAGATCCATTTGTTCGATTTCTGCGTAATTAGACTTAATCTTAATAGAAAGTAAAACCTTAAACACGATGATTCAGTAACGCAGACGATATTTCACGCAACGAAATATGACGCAAAAACGTCCTATATATCAATAAAAAAATAATTTCTTCCTCATAAATTCGGATTTCTGCCCCTCAATGTATGAAGCATAACCACAATCTGGAAAATAGGGTTCCAATAGTTTAGACAGGAGAGCGGTTAAGTGTTTGGAACCCTTACTGTTCATTTCAATTTGGAATGCATGGGGATACATTAATATTTTTTGAAAATCATGATAACGATACTTTAAATATTCTCACAATTTATCATGAATAAATATCGAGCAAAAGATTATGATTTTCAATGACTTTACGGAGAGCATTAGAGACAAAGAGAAATGATATTTGCAGCTTTGTTGCAAGCATTATCGATCATCTATTAAAATACCATGAATGTTGTCGATTAAAAAATTTAATTTAAGGTGCTAACAAATTTAGAGTGCTGATAAATTAGGATAATTGGACAATTGTAGAAATGAAGTTTATCATAAAATTGGAAAATATCGCCTAACGTTATATGCTGTATTAAAATTACAACATAGCAGTATCTACGGTGAAGTGCGTAACGCAATCTAAATTTCAGTTACTGCTTTCATATTTATTACTGATTGCAGCTAGTATATGTAAGATAAAGTGTTTAAAAAAGAAAAACTGTCAAAAAATTGGTTTAAGTGACTTAATGTAGGTTTTTATACTATTCATAAAGCTGTGGCTCACTGCAAGAACAAACAGTGATAATGTTTTCCCAAAGAACATGGTATGTTCTGAAAAACGGTTTAAAGCTGAGATCAACAATGAAGACAAAATTTTTATGGAATATACAGAAAATCACCTTTCCTGAGCCAATGTCCTATAATTAAGGCGAACTTACAATTTTTAAGTTAATTAAGAATACTAGATTTTGTATTTAAATTCTGTATTTAATTATTCTTGTACGGCGTCTAAAGATTATGATGAGTACAAATATTTTACTTCTTCCAGATAAATTCTAATAATAAAATAGTTTTGCTACTAGTGTTCTAGAAAAAAGAATATTAAAATGTGTCACGAGTTTTCTCGTCATCTGGAAAGTGTGTTTTTATATTTTTTTTAATTGTATATTCATTTATTTTTAGGTACAGCCTCAGTAAACCCATTCATCCCAGTTGTTGCGAAGAACAGACTCGGTCTTTCTGCAACTTCTCTAGCTGCTGTCTTGGCTGCTCAACAATTAATTACAATTGTTTCGAAGCCAATAATTGGTTACATTGCCGATTACTTCAACAGGCTCAAACTGATGATTAATACACTGCTCATTTTGCAAATAGTTTTCCTGTTTTTAATTCTCGCCGTTCCTCACATCAAAAAACCCTCCGACTCATCACAGGAATTAACATTATACGATCAATTAGAACACTTCAAGAAATCTTCCGAATCAGTGATTCTCACAGCCCGGTATTACCCTGACAGCAGAAACTCATCCAGTCAAATTACCTCTCCAAACTCTCCAGAGGAAAATGGAAACTCGTGGAATGAAGATAACAGCACATTCTCAGAAATTACGTGTTTACAACAAATTAATTTGACATCAATGATCTGTTTTCAGAAAGACATTGACGTAGAAATAAGCGATTTCAACCATGAATCTGAGTTAAATTTCAGCTGTTTAGTTAATTCTTTTAGTGCAGACATCTTTAATGAACATTTTCAACAGTGTAACAAAAAGTTGCATTTTCGTTTGCTAGCATTAGATTCTAACTATTCTGTCTATCAGAAAAACAAGACTTTTCCTTGCACGATTTCACTCACGAAAGATCACGATAATTCTAGTATCTCAACAATAAGTGACTTTCACACTTATGAATTTTGGATATTTGCTGTTGTCAACATTCTTGCAGGTATATGTACCAGTTCAGTTTTTACACTCTCTGATACAGCTTGCTGTGAGAGTGTGCAGAAGTTAGGGGGAGAATTCGGGAGACAAAGATTGTTTGGCGCAGTTGGATGGGGGGCATTGGCAGCTATAAGTGGATATTTATGTGACCTAACTGGTAACTATTATGCATCTTGGACGTTTATGGCAGTGCTGCAAATACTGGCTTTGTGGAATGTTTCTCAATTAGATCTCATTAAGCCACATTTCTCACAGAATCTTCTAAAAGACGTTGGTAGAGTTCTAAAATCTTTAGAATTCGCTGCATTCGAATTTGGAGTCTTGTTCAATGGAATAGGTGCAGGTTTACTGTGGTTTTACTTAATATGGTTTGTTTCAAGTTTAGGAGCCAGTAAATTCCTCTGCGGATTGACACAGTACGTTGAATGCTTTCTTGGCGAGATACCTTTCATGTTTTTTTCAGGCTGGTTCATAAAGAAATTAGGACATTTTAATCTCCTTTCACTTTCCCTCATATCTTATGCTTTGCGCTTTTTATGGTACAGCTATCTGCAAAATCCATGGCTCATTCTTCCTGCTGAAATTACGCATGGTTTTACTTATGGAACTCTTTTTCCTGCTATAGCATCGTATGGGAAAATGAAAGCAAAACCTGGAACAGAGGCAACAACACAATCAATTCTGTTTACGACACATGGAGGCTTAGGTAAGTTTTAAATTATCGATAACCTGATAATTACTAGTGATTAAAATTTTTTTTGATATAATCCGTCGTTTTTATAATACATGTATGACCAAATTGATTGGAGAGCTTTTTTTTTAAACATTAATTTATATTAATCATTTATAGCCATTAAAGTATGAAATATAACAGATAAATCCGCTATCCCTTTTCCCAATTTTGTAGATATTAAATAAAAATCTATAAACAATAAATTAATTCTAATAATAAGAAAAACAATTAAAATGCCATAAAATCAAAATAAAGAAAGGTTTATATGTAATCGTATATTTACAAAACAAGATTACAAATAAATTACCACTTAGTTTCACGGGAAAAAGGAATCTAAAGGGTCAAAAATTGCGCAAAATATGAGTATTTAAAGTAATCTTTTTATACTGCACATGCGTGCAAAACATTTAGAAAAAATTTCCTAATTTTATTCAGAACTGTATTTGTATCTTATGAAAAATACTCCGATTTGAATATCTTGGAAAAGTAAAAAGTTTCTGCAAATTTTTAAGTAGTTTCTGTATTTCTTTTTAAAATCTTTAAATTGTATAGGGTTTTATAAAAATTTCATTTTGTATCATAAAACAAAATTTCATAACAAATGATAATAGCCTAAAATGATGATCAGAACGACAAAAAATGATGGTATTAGGAAATGATGTATTAAGAAAATTGAAATAAAACATAATTTATAGGTTGTGGATCTGTATAATGCCGATGTCATTTTTTAATAAGTCTCGTTTCATATTAATAAGTTAAATTAGTGGAAAACCCCTCACCATTCGAATCTTTCCTTTCAAATCAAACAAAAACTACTTAGAAAATGATTAGAAACTTTTTAAATTTTCAAGATACTCAAATCGGACTTTTTTCATAAGTTATCAAATACGATTCAAAACAAAATTCTGAAGAAAAAAGAAACCTCTTAAATTTTTTCCACAAATGAGCATTACAAAAGTATTACTTTTAATACTTTTATTTTAAGCAAATTTTTTAGCGATTTTTTTTTCAAATTTTAAAATAATATTTCAATTATCAATTAAAAATTACTCTATAAATTTTGTGTAATTTTATTAAAAATTTCTGCAGTTGTAATAAGAAAACGTAAGTCAAAAAATTAGTTTTTTTTCTTACTAAAAATATCTATATCTTCATGAATGTTTAAGTTAGATTCAAGGAACTTGGTGCAATTTTTTCATATGCAAATAAAAATAATTGATATGAGTTCTGAGTTTATCGCTATATTTTTGGGTATAGGTTGTACAAAAACATTCTTTTTCGTTCATAATTAATTACCTGTCTCTTAAACTTTTAAACTTTATTGGCGTTTATGAGATATCGCATGACTTGCGCACTTTTAAAGTTTTAAATTAATTCTCTAAGTATTTACTTAAAAATATAAAAAAAGGAGTTAGTGTAGAAGTATTTCCATTATTTAGCACAGCTCCTGTGTACGTACATAACATAAGGTTCATACTATACTGCAATCGGGAATAAATCGAAATGAAAATTTTCTGTTATTTTCTAAAATATTTATTAAATTGGAAACTTTGACTTTAAGAAAAACTGTATATATTTCAGGTGCAGGTCTTGGATGCATTTTGGCAGGCATTTGCTTTGATAAAATAGGACCTCATCAAACTTTCTTCTACTTCAGCATAATGTGTTCTTGCGCTTCCGTCCTTAAGATTGTGCACACCTTCTTATTCAAACGTCACAACACTGATAAACTTAGTTTGTCATCAGGATCAATCGCTACGTGATTTATGTCAGTGTCTCTGCTTAGCCAAGATGAGTAAGAATCATTGTTCAAAAATCTGCATATTACGTCACAGAATTAGCAAGCGTTTGACGTGTGGTTTAACGGTTTGATCAATGGATAAAACAATTACCCTTATCGCACCCTAAAATCTTGCCTCGTTCTATTTTTAAAATATATTTTTTTCATAGTTATAAAGGTCAAATTTTAAATGCTACTATTCTTATTATTTTGCATATGTTGAAAGCAAATGTCGAGAGAACAAATATCTTTAAAAAAAACTTTTTCACATAAGCATACTTTAAATAATTATGCAATAAAAAAAAGCATTTTATGCCTTAAAATCAACATAAAAAAAGCCAAACAATGTATATTTTTGTATTTTTAAAAAATATTATTGAGTAGTGTTTAAAAGCTATTTTCAAATACTAAATTTTTATAATTTAAGATGTATTGTAACCATATGTTTTCAAAAAACCTTTTATTACATCAACATGCTTTAAATATTTATGCAATGGAAATTACTGTTATGTAATAAAACACAATATGCAAATAAACAATCTACAGGAATTCCCTAGTTGTTGAGTTTCTTTACTGAAAATATCTTCATTATAGAAAAAAGAAATTTAAACATTCTAATAATTACTTATGCTACGCCCTTATATAATAAGACAAAGTAAGATGAAACTTCAGCTTAAGAGTTATATGTTAAATTAATGTTAGGACGATATCCGCAGTATGTTTCTCTATTTTATCATATTAAAATTTATGCTTTATCTTAAACATTTTTATCGTTAAATAATTCTGCCCATAAATTATCTAAATTTTATAACTTTGATTTTCAGCAGAAGGAAAATTTGCAAAAAATAAAAACGCCTTTCAAATTATTACAATCACAAAAATATATCCATTTCAAATAAAATTAAAATAATAGTCACACTAACTTTTGATTTCAAAAAAGTCAAGGAGTGTACTTAAAAGAAAGTTTTCAAGGAGTTTTCTCAAGGAGTGTACTTAAAAACTCCTTGAGAAAAAGACAAAGTATGTAAGAATAGATAAAGAATATTTCTGACTTCTATTGAAAAGTATTTCCTTTTTATTATAATTATTATAAACTCGCCGTCTTTGGCAACAAGCTTGGTTACCTTTCAAGATTATTTTGTACAACATATAGATTTTAATGGTAACCAAGAAGAATGCACACCACAACTGTATTTGCTGTGCACTTTTTATGATCTCGTTTTTGCCTCTAACATTCTACGTCTTCAACTCCTCCTCCTCCTTCAAATCTAACACCTTAATTAGTTTCAAACGATATATAGTAACTAAAATTTCATTTTCTAGCTGTTGCCCGAGCAGAAGTACGATATCAATTATAACTATATCAAAAGATGTCTGTGTTATTGCCAGAATTCTTTATGTATTGAATTTTAGTAATAATTTAAAATCTGTTAAGCAGCTATTAAATCACAAAATCCACCATAAATCAGAAATAAGCTAAAATATTGAGAAAATATGGGGAAAAAAATAATGCCAAGAGAAGAAAATTAATAAAATTTTTTTAAAAAGTATTAAAAAAAATATCATTTTTGATTTTCCTTTAAAAAAAAAAAAAAAAAAAAAAAAAAAAAAAAAAAAAAAAAAAAAAAAAAAAAAAAAAAAAAAAAAAAAAAAAAACTTAAAAATTCGGAAAACGAAAGAAAGAAAAGAAAAGATTTTTTCTTTTCTTCGCTTTGTTTTCTGGATTTTTAATTTTTTTTTTTTTTGATAATCACAAATTATATTTTTTTAAATACTTCAGAGAATTTTTTTATTAATTATTTTATTTCTACTCTTGGCATTATTTTTTTCCCTTTTTTTCTCTCCATATTTTCTCAATATTTTAGCTTATTTTATGAATTCCATATACTTGCAGCTTATGCGCAGTTAATAAAACTTACTAATTTTCTTCATTTTTCTTTTATGTTTTTATTGCGTTTTTATTTATTTTATATATA